AGCAACCAGTTGACCTGTTGTCAGTTTAATGTCTAGTAGCCCTGTTGTCAGTATAATGTCTAGTAACCTTGTTGTCAGTATAATGTCTAGTAACCCTGTTGTCAGTATAATGTTTAGTAACCCTGTTGGCAGTATCATGTCTAGTAACCCTGTTGGCAGTATCATGTCTAGTAACCATGTTGTCAGTATAATGTTTATTAACCCTGTTGGCAGTATCATGTCTAGTAACCCTGTTGTCAGTATCATGTCTAGTACCCCTGTTGTAAGTATAAGGTCTAGTAATAATGTTTAGTAACACTGTTGGCAGTCTCATGTCTAGTAACCGTGTTGTCAGTATAATGGCTAGTAATAATGTTTAGTAACCCTGTGGGCAGTATCATGTCTATTAACCATGTTGTCAGTATTATGTTTATTAACCCTGCTGGCAGTATCATGCCTAGTAACCCTGTTGACAGTATCATGTCTAGCAACCCTGGTGTCAGTATCATGTCTAATAACCCTGTTGTCAGAATAATGTCTAGTAACCCTCTTGTCAGTACAACGTGTAGTAACCCTGTTGTCAGTATACTGTCTAGTAACCCTGTTGTCAGTAACATTTCTAGTAACCTTGTTGTCAGTATCTTGTCTAGTAACCCTGTTGTCAGTATAATGTCTAGTAATAATGTTTAGTAACCCTGTTGGCAGTATCTTTTCTAGTAACCCTGTTGTCAGTATAATGTCTAGTAACCCTGTTGTCAGTATCATGTCTAGTAACCCTGTTGTCAGTATAATGTTTAGTAACTCTGTTGGCAGTAACATGTCTAGTAACCCTGTTGTCAGTACAACGTCTAGTAACCCTGTTGTCAGTATAATGTCTAGTAACCCTGTTGTCAGTAACATTTCTAGTAACCCTGTTGTCAGTATCTTGTCTAGTAACCCTGTTGTCAGTATAATGTCTAGTAATAATGTTTAGTAACCCTGTTGGCAGTATCATGTCTAGTAACCCTGTTGTCAGTAACATGTCTAGTAACCCTGTTGTCAGTATAATGTCTAGTAACCCTGTTGTCAGTATCATGTCTAGTAACCCTGTTGTCAGTATAATGTCTAGTAATAATGTTTAGTAACCCTGTTGTCAGTATCATGTCTAGTAACCCTGTTGTCAGTATCATGTCTAGTATCCCTGTTGTTAGTGTCATGTCTAGTAACCCTGTTGTCAGTATGATGTCTAGTAAGCCTGTTGGCAGTATCATGTCTAGTAACCCTGTTGTCAGTATCATGTCTAGTAAGCCTGTTGGCAGTATCATGTGAACGGTTGGAATGCTCTGCATGGTGCTTTTGACAAGGTATTTCAGTGAGTTTGCATGCGATCCTTGCTATTACTAGACGACGCATATACTATACCAATGTTTCATGCTTCCAGCACACATACATTACAATTAGGGGCACGTCCTTAAATTTACTTGGCTGTTTATAAATAGAATAAAACCAAATCTTTTGTTTTAATCTGTTTGTTTCCTCGATTCTTGTAGTTGCCCTTTGATATTGCCTTTTTGGTATCTTTTTGTAAGAAGATATCGACGTATGTTTAAATTGTTGTATATTTGTTACGTCTTTTTACTAACATATTATTTCCTATCCATTGAGACAGTGCTGTATCCGCAAAGTCTTAATGTTTTATAAAACCTTCGTATTGCTCATTTTTTTTTTTGACGATTGGATTTTAATCAAATAATCTCTAGCTACTTTCCAGTTTATAGAAACTCTACCTTGCGTCACTAATTAAGTTTTTGTTTAGTTGCCAAACATTCACAGTAGAGAGTACGATGTGTGCAAGATATATTCCCTTGTGAACTGAAAATTGTTTGTTCAGAGTTTAGCTTCTCAATTCACGTCCACAGCCTTATTTGTGCTGCTCCAGGCAACAGACCAAATATAGTCTCTGTATTTTTCATTTCAGCCACAGATCTTGTCCCTTATCAGAGCTTTTACATTAAAGCTGGATTTTTTAAACTAAAACAGAAATGATTCTTCAATCTAACCCCTTTCCATTTGTTTGTAAAAGTCGTAATCTCTGTTTTTAGCGTTACATCTCAAGATAACAAGTCTGACAATTAAAAGGTTTTTCTTGTGTCTGTATTAATGTTACAACAACCGAGGTTTGTTTTAACAGCTATGACGTCACGGTGGAACAATTACTGTCGCTCTATCAGTACATATTTATCTAGTTTTCTCTCCAGTAAATATATGATAAAACACAGAAACAATTTAATACAAAAGATTTAATGTTATTCTTATGATATTCCGTTTCACTGCAGGCGGTGTACATTTCGATACAAATCAATACTAGGGTTTTTATCTGATTCATCGAGACACAAACTGAATATTTTGGTTATCTCGTAATCGGAATACCGAACAAAAAGTGATTAGGTTTAATCATAAAATTCCACTTGATAATAATACACACTGCTTGGAAGCAAAATTAATTTAACATCCCTCCATGTTCCTCGAGTTTGTCAATCTTAATATTGAATTAGTGATTTCCTATTCTAATCACACAAACAAAAGAACTAAATCATCAGAGTAGCTGTATACCTCTATAATGAGTTGCATTCTACATTTATATGCATTTACCGTAACTGTACTACGGCTACAAATGTGATTTCTTTGTAACGTTGCATGACAAATTGTGTGATTTATTACAAAATCGTTCTAAATGTCTCGTAAAACGACCATTCTCTACATACAAAATCTTAAACTTGCTTAATAGTTCATGCACGCCAGAACTTTACATACAAGTCATACTTCTTACATCGTAACAAATCACACTTTCTTATTCTTCAAATGTCTTATGCAGATTGGACGAACATTGTAGGAAAACTATTCTCTGCAGGTCACAGTTAAACCAAGCTTTACATTGCGGAATGAAATAGTAGAATTTAGTTCATGGGATTTTCATATTTACTGAAACTCGAAGTACAATATGTATGATCAGGGATTAAAAATAAAGACCCACATATAATACACACCAAAGAACTGTATATTTGAAGCAAATTAATTTGAATGTTTTAATAAACGTTTCCTTAAGAAGAGTATGCTTGATTTGATTGCATTATGGCGAGTAATGCTTTCAATGTTTTTTTTATAGGTATTTCAATTTAAGTGTATTGCCGCCTTGTAAAAACTCATACTCTATGATCGATACTAATGACTGTATATTGCACGAACAATACTACATTCATCAAATATCCTTCATTTTCAGCAACTACTGCGCCGCATATTATAACTACTGTTGACGAATGTTTATATAATAATTCTTATTTCTTAAGTGACTGATGATCTTTTTCGAAAAGAAGCTGTCTTCGAAACAATGATGTAATTTCTGGATGCACATGTTTCATTGTGACGTCATTGTCGCAAGTGGATTTCGTGTTGGCTCAGTTGAAAATAGGTCATTGCAATACTGAAATTGTTCAATTAATTTCGATATTAAATACACGGTGAGTGATGTTGGAAGCGTGTGGAAGATGCTGAACACATTTTACCATAATGCGAATTTCACCATATCCTGGAAGACTTACATTGTGAATTTCTAATCGCAAATAAAAATATACACAACGCCATTAACGTACAAACAAAACAAAACTTAAGACGTAAAAAGTAACTCCCGAAATGTTTACTTTTTTGCAGTATGTTATATATCCTGCTTAATATCAACATTTTCACGTGAGTTCATGTGTTTCGTCACACAAAAAACTTCTTATTAACGACCTAAATGTAAACCAAACTTATATGCACAACGCTGCTTTACCTATAATAGGTATGTTTTCCGGAATTCAAACGAACTAAACAATTAGTCGATGTCGTCAATGAAACAGATATTGGAACTTACATGGAAACGCCATTAACGACACGTAAAACAATAAACAGATAAGCACTAATGACAATGAAAGTGAAATACTGCTAGATTCGTTCGAACGAAACAGCAAACACGTATCAAAAAGGTACACAAGGTCTGCTTTGCATATTAACTGCAGTAAACATAAACTAAATAATGCTAGTGTCGTATCTCTGTGGCCATTTAAATTATAAAACCATTTGCTTATAAAAAAATATGTATACAAGTGAATAGTTATACCGTTCCCATACGCATTGCATTTGAACACGGGTTCTGTTAGAACATGCTCCTAACCTAAGTTTTATTGAAGACGTAAATAATCAGTATTGTCTTAAAAACCAACTTTGTCAATAGATAAAAACACCCATTCGTTGAAAACATGTTAGTAATACAAACATATGCAATAAAACAACACGTTTTACAAAACTACCTTTTTTTTACATTTAAACAAGTGACAAGGGATTGCTAGGTGTTTCCATTTGATGTAGCATCCTTAATTCAGGGTGTGCCAGCAAGCAATAATCTATATGTTCTCGTTGTATATGTAGCTTCAATGTTCTTGTCGGAAGGTGTGTCTTAATTCCTTGCAATTTCTGGTATACACATAATTTCATCACAAGTGAGGTATCCGATTTCAGTTCGTCTGAAAAGCTTGAACAGGTAATTCGCAATCTTCCGAAGGTATAACCTCACTTTCATCTTTCCATAACAATACCATTCACAGTCCTCCAATTTACATCATTTATTATATTCTCTCAATGTTCTATACACAGGGAACATCAGTGATACATGTACATGGGTGTCCATTATTTCAGCCATAAGCGTTGTCAATGGTGCCTGGGGGTGGTCAATGGTCAAACACATTTTGTTTTGTCATTAATCATTACAGAGCGACGTAATCGATCACCCTTTATTGATTTTCCCTCCCTCTGAGTAATAACATGAACCAAATCTGACTACAGTTACTGGCATACTTACAAGTGACGCCATTGTTTCGTTCTTACGAAACGTTATAGACCCAATCCCATGTGCAGTTAAGCCCGTACCCGTGTCTATAAAAATGATTGATGGTTGATGGTTTTGTACACATATATGTACATATGGAGGGTCTAGCAAGTAATACGTGTCTATTTCTGTACAATTATCAGAACCAATTTACTAATTAAAGCACAAAAAAGGCGCGGATAGCCAACTTAGTCACGTGATCAATAAGATATTTCCACCCATAACAAGACCGGTGCCTTACATGATCAGTCCTAGATTACATGTGACAGGTTGCCATCCAATGAGATTTCAGTTCTGGTCAGTGGTTTGCATAGTGCTAATTTGGCTTTCGGTGACACCGTTATCAGTAGGCCCCACAGTCGTCAAGTCCTAAAATTGGAATTAACTGCAACACAAAAAACCAATACATTTGGTACAAAAACACCGTACTTTAGAGATAAAATCATTCTACATAACTGACTCATATTTGTCATTCTCATATATGATGTCCGAGTAATTTTTCCGTGTAAATTTTGTAAAAGCAAACGATTAGTAATGACCGTAAAATGTCAAGTATAATCCCGCATCATAAGAACACCAAAAACATAGCCAAACAAATTCCGATGTAATGTTTTTATTATTTCACGCTTTTAAGATTCATTGATAAATTACTTAAAATATCAAAATATGAGTTGAGAACGATTAATAAAAAACAGACTAAATCATTAAGAGAGTTTTCCTTTTAAGAAACTGATTATACATGTATCATTGAATCAATCTCATTAAAATCAGATGTTAATAAAAAAAAAAAAAAGCTATTAACGTGCGGTACGTGATAATGAACAGCTGTATTTATTCAGATTGTCATTGAATTAATTCTACCGCAACGTCGATAAAATCTTCCTAACGTGATTGTATTATTAATACACATAATTTAATGAAAATAAACTTTATACGGGACATTTATTGCGTGTACTTAAGTAAGCTGAGTTATTCTTTTTCAAAATTGTATCAGTTATACCTTGTATTTAGTCACCCATGCAGTAGTCGGTCAAATACTCTAGCGTTATAAAGAATCTTTTCAAGAATTCAGTAATGCGACTAAATTTTCAAAATTACCATTTACACGTATTCTATTTCACGGCAAATAATCAAAATATAGCTTTGTGATAAAACAAACTGGATTTGGTCGTCTTTTAACTGTATCTATTAAAATTCGTATTAAACGCCGTAACAGATTATACCTGTTCGCTTTTATGCAAATTCAATATACGGTACATTAATGAAAATAGACGCAATCTAGGAAGTCAATGGTGGTAAAATCTACTTACCATCATAAAATAAATCTCGTTTCATACTGCAGAGTCCAGACTGAAAGAGGAAAGAAAAATTAAACAAGTAATGCAAAATGGAGAGACCGTGACATGATTAAGGGCGTGACGATGTTCCACAATTATACGCGACAATGCGCGTGTATCGGCATCGGCTCTTCTTTTGTGTGCGTTTTATAGACGAACAGATTTCTATCATGTAATCGATGGAGTGTTATAATCAGATTTAAGAACATATCCATGCTTTATCATTAGTTTTCGGATGCTGCTTTGATGAGAGTCGTGTTGTACTTAAATGTTATAAGCATACACAACGAATCTCTGTGCTAACAACGGACCAACCGTATCATACATTCTCTGAGGGCATTCAGCTTATCCCAAACCATAATAAACTCATTATTAGTACCAAATTTCGCAACAAATTGAGCCTGAAATAGGGTAGGGTTTCAGATCAATATCCAATACGGAGTCTCGTCTTATTATATTGTTCTATCTCTGTTGAGCCTGTTTACAACATCATAGTCTCTCATAGGAGTTATTCGCGATCGATTGTGTACAAAGATAAGACACAAAAAAAAATGCTTGATTTTCATAACATCACAAAGCAATATAGCATTCAATAACAGAAATGCATTTTTTCAACTTTTGTTACCTCCCTTTGATTTTATAATAATAATGTTTCTCGCACGGTATCACGATATCGTGATCAGATTAAATGATCTCTAAAAACTTTTCCGCCATTATTTTATTGATTGTTTTCTCTCCGATCCCTTTATCAGATTTTTGATATACGCTTTCTTCACAGACTCTATAATCTTTTAACGCGAAATTGTGGTCAATTTTCTTATTCCAGAAGGCTCGTATTGACATTAAATTCCATGAAGTCACCGAGTTTACGTAATGAAGCCACTCAATTATTCACAGCGCCACACCATTCCATGCAGAGAGGACATATCGTTAAAGCGTCTAATCTGACCCGGGAGTGATAAACTGTCTATGGTGTAAATACATAGTAATAGACAAAAAGCTTTTTGCTGTTTATGGCAAGATTCACAGGATGCTTTCATCATGTAGATAAAGAATGGATACAACGTAATTTATGAACATGTTTTTTTTCTTTGAAAAAGCAGACAGTGAAATTTATACATAGTTACGAAACGACGTCAGACGCATCAACCCAAGGGAAGAAAACATGCGACCAGAAATACGTCAATGTTTGTTTTAATGAATTGTATTGTAATACGAAGGCGGTGACCATGGAAAATGTGGTCGTTTGAGGTTCAATTCAAAATGCCGTCGCAAAGAAATATCGTTACCTGGGCGTTGTAAAACCACACTTCCCCCGTTTCACAATATCACGGGCTAACTCAATTTTAAGATTTTAGACTCCGTCTGTGGACATAACCCATAACATTCCCAGCGTGAGCGATCACTCTGCGTAAGGCGTGAGGAAACGAATAAACTATTTAGAAAGTATAGAAATATAAAGTTTTAAATGATGTTATGAATGCAGCAGATCTATTTTGACCGCATTTATGTCCCAAAGTACAGGGTAATATATTGTTGATATTTTTCGGTTTCATGTGAAAGAATATCACAATACTTGTCCATTATCATACAGATAACAGACGTACACCATAAATGGTAACAAAAGGTTTCCATATTTAAACATGAAACTGTAAACTGTTTCACTATTTTCCCCAACTCTTTCGCTGGCAAAACAGTTCTCAGTAAGATTGGTAGCTGTATTGATATTGATGGTTAGTGTACAAATGATAGCGGCTACTTTTTGTGCAGTTGTTAGTTGAATGCATATCAGTGGATATTGTACAAATATAAGCGATCATGTTGTGTACAATAGTTAGATGTATAAATATTGGTGGTTACTCTCTGTTCTACTGAATACTTGCCAGGTCTCCTGATATTGGATGACCAACTCCTATTTGTTCATCTCCAATTTCGACATTACAAATCAGGAAACTCCTACAAGTCACTGTTTGATAAGTTGCATAGAATACCTTAACAGATTGTATATTACAGCACTGTTTTGTAGAAATGCAGTCTTTATCGTAAAATCTCAGAGGTTCTGTACAAGTTCTTCTATAGAGTAGTACCTGTGGAGTACCATGAAGCAGTGTGATGTATAACTTGAACAAGAAAATCAAGTCTACAAAAAGTCTTTGTTTTTGCTTTATATCCAAAAGCTAAATAAAATCATCTGGAAACGATTTTTTTTAAATGGTAACATTGCACATGGTTGCAGTTAAGTGCTAATATCAAAAATATTTATGTTTTAGTTAAGACAAGAGATACTTTTTTATGAGGACCCCTTGTCCACACACTTCCCTCGTAGGGATTACACGTGTTCCAATGTGGGTGGCAGAGCATGTAGTAATTCAAATACCAGTTGTGCAATTTCTCGAACAATATATTCAAAAAAAGCATAATAATGTAACTGCTCTGAGTTATGGTCGGGGTTTAACGTCCTTGCACCAGCCAAATCATATGAAGACAGACAGTGCAGGAAGGATTGAAATAAAAGACAAGGTAACAAAGTGATACAAATACTTGTGTACTTATTCCAATCCTGAAGTGCAAAGAGCGATACTTGTTGCTTCACAAACAGATAAAGATAACCGGAGATGTCATAAAACTTTGTTCCCCTGAAGAAATAGAAACTTGTTGCTCCACCCCCGGACCCTGAAGTACAGAGAGATGATACCTGTTTGCGGGTGTTGATGTTAGTCCTCAGTACACGGTGATTAAGTGGCATGGCTGGTCGGATGTTTTTCATCTGCCATTCCATCCAAACGCCTCTAAAAGCATTTAACTGGAAATAGACAAAATGTATACTTTAGATTGAATTTAATTATCCGAGTTAATACAACTATGATTTTAGATATGCACATGGCATTGTAGACTTTTGAGAATAGCCGTGTCTGATCACCGGCAGAACTCGGAGCCTGCTCTCAATATCCATTACACACATCTTGTATATCCAAGGCTTCCAAACAAAACTCCAAGAGCTTGTCCCCAAACTCCCGTTAAACATATATTTTGTCTCTAATTCTACCAAAGACACAAGGCCGTGATCATGTTCAAAAATACAATAGCTTGTTTTAAAGCCCAACAACATAAATATATGTTATCCCTTGCAAGGACACAGAGCACTGCCCTTGATCTAAAGTGCGTGACACATATATATCTTGTTTTCGAGACTTTTCGATAAAGTCCCAAACCCTTTATAAAGCACAAATCTACATATTTGTTTGCCTCCCATAGTATTACAAGCACTACTTTATTTTATCCTTTTAATACTAAGTGTTGACTGACAATAGCTTCTGATTTTAACTTTGGTGAAGAGAGTAGACGAAATCCGTTTAAAGAAGACATGTTGGTCTCAAATTCATTTTCATCAAAGACAATCAATGTTTTATGACACCGCAAACATTAAAGCCATACCTGTTTTTCTGAAATGTATGAAGGTTTATTGAATATTATCCAGGTGACGGTTTCCTGGCAGCTAGGTTGTGTCATGGATCCTTCGTACGTGATATAATGGTCGGTAAGGGGAAGTAACTCATCGATAGAGAAGGAAGTTATCTGGACAAATGCGCCTGTAAGCAAATGAAATAAGATATCAATCTTGAAACATCCAACCAGCATCACACAATGTAAAACTATGCACATTGGATAAATACTTAAAGTATAAGTTGTAGTTGAATAAAATGTAAATATCTCAATGACTGCCATTTACTACAGATTACATCTAGATTTTTCAATGCATTTCAAAAGAAGCCATCTATTTTTTTTTTTGACGTTCCTTCTACAACAAAAGTCATCTAAGGACGGGTACAAGAAGAGACACTGTAAAATAAAGAGCAGATTGGATTGAAACTACTGAAATGGGACATCATATCACACTTTGATTCTTTAAAGTGCCCCAAGTATTAGACAATGACATAACACGAAGTGACATGCCGCAAGTTTGCTCTTTCTCCGACCATGCAGGATGTATAGACTACATAGGAATTTTTTTTTCGTTTTCTATATTTCCTATCTACTTTCTATATCAGTTGGTGTATCCCTGGGCAGCCGTCCCTATATGCCCCTTGCTGTTTCGAGGTCGTTAAACCACAAAAAAAAAACATTGAAAAAAATATTCAATTCTGAAGCGGCCTAAATGAGTACCCTCAGATGATAATGCAGTTTGATAAAGCAAATCTTTTCGCGAAACTGCAGTGCATAATTTGTGTATTGGTACGAGGTTTAAGTTCTCGTAATAGCCATGGTCATATGACTAAGGGTGCTAGGGATATAAGAAAATAACTATGTCGGGTAATTAGACAATAGACAAAACTGACGTGTGCTTGTTTATTGAAAAGCATAGGGTAAAATGCCGCTCTGGCGGATCAATGACATTTACAGGAGGGTAAATGTTGCCCTAAGAAAAAAAATGGGACAGGCTTTATTTTCATTGTTTTAATTTCTTGGCGTTTAGCTGTAAAATAAGACGTTAACGAATTTATGAAATCGTATACATGCAAATACATTATAGATTAAGTTAACGCTATTACCGAAACATGTTTCAAGCTGGGTACCTCTTGTTATTTCTTCCATAAACGTGTCCAATTTTTTTCACCTGAATCAGTTAATGTTATTTACAGAGTCAATATCAGTCAGTAGATCACATGCCCTTACTTTAACCGTTCTCAATAGATTTCGGCCATCGTTTTCGGGATTTTCTCTCAAAGTTCTAACAAATTGCAAAGTAAATTTGTCAAAGGTTTTGAATATTTGCGTGAAATTGGTTTCTACTATAAAAGTTGAAATTTCTAAATTCTTTGTATAACAATACCTGACAAGTTTCGTTGTATACATTTTTTTTTTTTCAGTTTCTTTTTTGTGTATTTAGATTTGTAATTTGGCGTTAAGCAAGGAACAAACGAACTATGCTTATTTAGTTTGTTTTTTTCCTTTTGAATCAAATGCATGTAACAAGTATTCAAATCATAAACAGTTTTGGAGGTTCTAATTCGTTAAAAGGTAAGAGACATTTTGACTGAACTATGTCTTAGATTCCCGTTTTCGAATTTCTTTTTGAGGTTATCCCTTACATTCCGATAACCCAATATATTCCTATCGAGTTTAATATGGTCACAACCGAAAGCATGATCTTGCCCGTTCTTTTTAGACTTAAAATCTTGAAAGGGCCTGTTTCCAGTAATGTTAATTCTCCATAGGAGCCTGCCCCCGTATAATTTCTTATCTAGCTCAACTACTGTTTTTTTCTTTTCCGAAGAATAATTTTACACCTTTCCGACACCCAGATTTCATAATTTCAGTGAAAATGTATTTTTATAAAGTTGTCAATTTCAGCATCAAAGACATAAGTTCGTAAATAAAAGAAGGTTATCTCGAAATTGTAATTCGCAACATAGTATAAATTTCTTTTGATAAATATTTCCAAAACATCGTGTTTATTCATAAAACATAAAAAAAAATATTTTCGGATGAAAATGCACTTGCAGAGACACAATTATGAAGAAAAATGCCATAAAATTGCAATTTTCTCCCGTTATATAGTTTTGGATGCAAATTTCCATCAGAAAATCGGATAGAGCTTTACTTGTTTCATATGTGTACCAAAAATCAGCTAATTCCATGTGGTGGAACGTTCTCATATCGCCGCCTGAATGTGGTTGTAAATTGAAAGAAAAGGGGAAATGAGTAACAACCTTGTCTGAAACCCTATTATATAGCTTATTATATACAAACTTTTATATTGAATATCAGAGCGGATATTTTCATGACAGTTTTATGATGTGTAACGACTAAATAAACAGTATCGATATAAAGATTTACACTGAGGACACCCTGATACATGAATACTGTTCTATCTCAAGTTGTCCTCTTCTGAATTTTCTGATCGTGTGGCCTTGTACATTTATCCGTATCTTCTTGTCTTTGTCTATACGTTTACGGAATCATTGACTCGACGCTAGCTATTCTTGTCTCACTTTCCTTGTTTTATTGTCCCATCTCCATAGCGTTGTGGCTCTGTCAGGGTTGGGACCCTGGCTTGTCTCACTTTCTTTGTGCCTGCCGACCACGCCAAATCGAATAAATAGATTATCCATATGAAATACTTTATTTTGTTCTAAGTAATCAATCAATTCTGCGCTTCTTGGAGGTATTGAATGTGATTTATTATATTGTCTTGTTATTTTGTGTAATTAGTTGTTCGTTATTTATCACACATTTTCGCATAATTGTACCAAACTACTAAGTATTAGCTGTTTACAGCAATCATCGGTGGCTTGCTATTTTGTTACTTTATCGACGCTTCATAAACCAATCGTTATTGTTTCAAGATGGAGGGTAAATGTGTTGGAGAAGGGTGTCAAGTATACTTCAAGAAACGTAGTGGCAATAAGAACAGAAGTGCACGCAATGTAAATAGTCCACAATATAAATGGCTCCTAGATACGCTGGTGCAACAAGGATTGATGTCAGCAAAGGAACAAGCACTTATTTGCCAGAAGTGCTACATGAAGTATCTTCGGAACAAAAATCAGCCTGAACCTGAACCCGAGCAGAACCAGGAAATAGAGGAAGAAGACGACTCCCCGTCCCATATCCTGCCGTTGCTGACCCTTCATGATCTTTTGAATGGATCATCTTCACACAAAAAATGCTGTCTCTGTCTTGTTACCTTTGCAAGAAATGGAACAAAATCATCAGTCTTACCAAAACGTGCAAGACATCACCTGATCTATTCACACAAACTGTGGTGTCCCACCTCATCCCGCGTCTGCTCCATTCACCTTATTGGTAACGACTTAGATCCGTCTACAGAGGTTGTCCTTGATGGTAGAGGTTCCTTGGAATCTCAGTTACCATCAAAATCGTCCGAAATCATTAATGACCTCCTAGAGGTGTCGCACGTCCTTTCACAGAACCAGTCTGCGTTTACAATAAGCTTTTCTTCTCTTGATGACTCGGCATGCATGGCCTGGACAGGTTGGTCCAAAGATCAGTTCCTCGAAATCCACTCGCACTGTTCCCCATATCTTTCATCTGGTATATATACCAAGACTACACACGATGCTCTATTACTGTTCTGGGTAAAACTGAAAACCGACATTTCCTGGAGTCAGTGTTCTTCTCTTTTTGGAATTTCCAAGTCAAGTGTGTCCAAAACTTTCCACTCCATAGTACAGGCATTAGACACATCGATAGTCCCACAATTTCTAGGTCCGGATCACTTGACAAGAGAACAGTTGCTCGGGCACAATACTGTCTTTTCAGAAGCATTTTTTGGAGATAAAGCCACTGCCATATTAGATGGCACCTATATTTATATCCAGAAAAGCTCCGACCACAAGCTCCAGAGAATGTCCTACTGTGGCCAGAAGAAGAGAAACTATCTCAAATTCATGAGCATCGCCTTACCAGATGGCTACATTCTGGACACAGTAGGACCATTCACTGGCAGCGAAAATGATGCTACAATTACAAAAAAAGTCATGGACAAGCTAGTTACTTGGCTACAACCAGACGACAACGTTGTCGTTGACCGAGGTTTTAGAGATGTCCTACCAGTTCTCGAAGCCTCTGGCCTCAATGCTAGCATGCCGTCATACCTGAAACCCGGTCAAAGTCAACATTCTGACGTCCAAGCAAATCTTGACAGAACTATCACCAAATCGAGGTGGATTGTGGAATCCTATCATGGTCGTCTGAAACACTGGACGTTCTTCCGAACGCAATTGGTGTCTAACAGCTTTATCAATGTCATCGAGGCTTTGCTTCGAACCGTCACAGCCTGTCTGAATGGTATTAGAGGACCGATCTACCAGAGATCTCCAGAGAGAGATGCCAAAGATAGGCTAATGGCTGAACGTATGAAGGACCGTTTGACAACACCGAATGGTTTAGCTCAGAGAGTCAAGACAGATCCGGATCTATCTAGACGGGCAAGGTCCGAGTTTGTCAAGATGGATGCATCTTCCGTACTGTTTCCCCGTCTCGATCTTGATTACTTGAGAACCATTACGTGTGGAACGTATCAGATATCTCTGGCTCCTGGTTACATCGCCGAACATTTAAGTGATGACGGAGACTATGAGGTGTGGCTTTACCAGCACTCCCCAGACCTTCTCCGATGTCAAATACATTCTCGACACAAAAGCCAAACGAAATATAACGTTTGGATACGGTTCACCGTTTCACCCGATGTTGAGGCCCCAATAAAGGACTACTACTGCCAGTGCCCAGTTGGTGAGAGAACGATGGGAATGTGTGCGCACATCTCCAGTATCTTGTACTACCTTGGGTATTAAAATTGGGTAAGAAAAACAAGATGTCCAATGCAAAATACTGGTCATTTTCCTTTCCCGAAGAAAATGTATCGACTTCATTTTTCTATGGAGTTTCTTCTTTGTCTTCTATTAAAGGAAACCACAACTGATCTGCTTATCTTATTCTTTCTCACTTCCCCACTTTCTTTTTGGTATTTCTCCCTAGGCACCGTCTTTACATTGCCTAATAGCTATTGCGAAGATTTCAAACCACAAACAATCTTTTCACCGATTTTCCGCGACAGCAAATCGTGCATCTAATCGTCATTTCCCTGATCCCAGAAACCAATTCGATTATTTATATTTTCTATTTGTCATCATACCTGCAATTATTGTTCCGTTCTCTACTTCTTTAATAAAGTTGACACACTATTTTAAAAAACTGATTAATTATAAGCTGTTGATAATTTATGCTTATAAAGTAACTCTTAAAGGTCTCAGTTTCTTGTCATTAGTTCCATTGACATATTTTGCTTTTCCCTACGTGTTTTTATTTTCCTGTCACATCTCACTATCTGATGTGCTATATGACACATCCATCGTTGGTTTCAAACGTTTTAAGAATATTTATTGACCACAAGTGTTACATGTAGCTCATCTCTGGTAGCCTTATTAACAATAGAATCTTCAAACCAAATGTCACGATCAAACTCGTCCAGTTTAAATCAAAGATAACGATATGTCGGCTATATCACTGTAAAGATAGAAAATCAAAATCATCCTTATTTTCATTTAAAATGTCACAACATTTCTGCTCTGAAGAATGAAGTAAAAGTAAATTATGTTTAGTTTTAGTAATCTAACAGTATGCAAGTGTGCCAAACCAGTAATACGAAAACTGTAATCAAATAGGCGCACACAACTTAATTCTGTGGACATGGCGTGGCATTGGCTAGTTAGCACGGATCACTTTCAAAATAATCTTTGTACACTGTTATAAAGCAAACATTCGTTGTTCTTCTGTGAAAAAATATACGACATATTCGTGGGGCATGTAACCAAATTTAAAACTGTCACTAAAACTCTCGTAGATTGCACTTGACAATGAATTCATTGTGATGTGGCTTCTGTGACAATGTGAGTTATGTTTACATCAGCGTTTAGCATATGACATTGCCCTATATTTAACTGCAAAAGATCCAGATGTCTGTCTGCCATGTTGTCTAAGCGTTTCGGAATTAGTTATGGGAGGCAAGACAAGAAGTCGTAGTCCGAACATTGTGGATTAAAAAAGCAGGCCTTCGTTTTTAAAAAGGCCAGGAAAAACGTCGGTCGTTTTAAAGACATTATGACCGTTTCGAATATATCTCAAAGCGTCTCTTTCCGAAAAATATCGATATTTAAAGTGATGGATTGAAAAACTGATAATGGGTCTGTCTTCATAAATGGTCATTGTAGAACAAATGAAGGTCTAAAATACCCATATAGTCTACTGTGCTTCTTGATATGAGGTAACCCGTATGAGTTTTATTTGTGTATTTTTTAAGTGATTCGACTGAATCGACAAAAGATGCCGCGACTCGTAAATTTTAATTAAATCTAGATTGTCTTTCTTTAATGAGACAACCATAGATAATCTATATTGAAAACTATGCAGAAATATGACATATGTGGCTAAAAGGAGGTGTGCATGTAGATGTTATTGGTTTTGCTTGTGTCATTGAAAAAAAAAGGATACAATGGCACAGTGGGATCTACTAGCATACAGGACAATTTGGAGAGATGTATAAGGCGATGTAATGTTCATTTTCTAATAAAAAATCAAACAGAACGAATTATATCTTCATTTATGACAAATTTTCAGGAAAAAAATATATCAACGTTACTCAAATTCTAGAGACAAGCAATCAAATGGCATCAAGGTCTTTGATGTCATGGCCGCTTTGCTTTTTAATTTGGAGTGTAAGTTTTAAAAGATTTCAATTAGGTTTCACAAATACCTCTGGGAAGAGTAACAGGAATAAATAGTGAAATAGTTAAACATTCTATCGTTCGTGTCCGCAGGTTTATCTCCCTCAGAGGTAATTCGCTGAATATATTTGAAAGAATTACCGTCAGATGCGTCGTAGTACTCTCGGGATTTGTATAAATAGGATGGGAATGCCGATGGAGCACGCGGGAAGGTCGACGGCAAATAAGGGATGACTGACCGGAAAATGTCACGTGTCAAGAGTATATGTAGGAGGATATTTAAAATAACGCAAATTGCGTAATTTTCTTACTGAATTGGCAGAGTGTTCCTTTGAGCACTGTCTTATGACTGTAGGATGCCGGTATCATATTTAATCACAGATTTTGACATTTCGGGGTCATACTTGTTTTTTCTTTTAAATTTAAAACCAGCGGATTCCACGATGACACAGTCCAATTTGAACAAAACTGGAAATGCACATTTTAATATACGTTTATATATTGCATTCGTAATCTTTATTGGAACTGTTATCATTCTTTCTGACGCAACATCATCTTAAGCCTTTAACTAGTATTTCAGAAAACATTAGATTCTAAACTTAAGTTTGTGTAAATATGTAATTAAACCGTAAATCTCAAGGCGACTAACCTTGTTTTATTACATTTCTTTTGTATTGTTTTACGACCCACTGACAAAGTCATTAAGGGTCGAAATAGACATTCTCAAAATTAAAGTTATCGAACAAAAACTAAAAAGGTTAATATGTGTAAAATATGTAAAAAAAACACACCATATCAATCAATAGCATACGAATTGGTTGTAAAATCAATCATATGTTACTGAGAAAAAACGATCAAATGTAAATATTTATAATCTAATAATTCAATTGCCCATTCAACGCAACAAATGTACGTTTCATAGACGGTACAATATAGAATCTGTCAATGTATTTGTTGAAAATTATCGTATTCAATCAAAACTTGTTATACTGTAAATGGTTGTTCAAATGTGTGACAACACAGTTGATATTCTTTTCGTAAAATGCAACCATTTGTGGTGCATGTATGTCGTATGCGCAGTCGCGAGAAGACAGCTTCCTCTCTGCAGCCTTCTCTACATGTGCACATGAGCCTACATCAGGTTGAATTGCACACATTTAATATTTTGTGTTTTACTTGTCAAAGTAGAACAGAAATTTATTAACGTCATCGTATATATATATTGCAGTCATATTGGGAGGCTGACGAACGAATATTATTTAGACCATAAGACAATTTATATATGTATGGCCACACTTGAGATACATCCTGTTCAGACAGACAGAACGTTGTTGTAATTATTTACTAACTTATGACAATGGTACATTTCCTCGATAACATATACACAAAACCATCCTTTGTTCGCAGTAGGGCGTAGCATCGCTTTGTCGGCGCGTGACAGAATTGGTCAATTATTTCTCGTGCTCTCTCGGACATGACAAACATAACATACCTCTTTCCCAAGATATTTCGTCCAACTTAGCTGTCAATATATCTAATGCTGGGTTCTCGTCCGTCTTTTCTGGTGCTATCTGAAATGTCCGAAAATAACATATTGTTGTTTCTGAAATGATAGGTTTTTGCTTTTATATCGTTTTACGGTCAAACAGCACTTCATAATTGACGTTAACAAACAGGTATATCTCGCACCAAAAAACAAGATAGGTAAAAAGGTGCCAATGACGCAAAAATACATTAACAGCAAACAAATTATTTTTGAAATATACATCTTATCGTAAAAATCAATGGTGTGTAAAACTCATATATTACTGTTACACAAACTGTATCAAACAAACCTTTCATTGTTGGGACGTAAAAGCAATTGTCGCGTATTTGCCTGAAAGTAGTGCAATTCAGCCATAGGTTTTATCATAAATAGTTGACCACAAGCATAACCTTACAGTTAGACTTAAAACATCGGTTCTTGCCGATTGGCCAAGGGTTAACAGTTCCGTAAGCCCTACTCCTACCGAGGGATAGTAGTGTCGACTGTTCCCCAAATAGCATTGAAACAATTATTTTATTACGAAATACATATTAGTATCAATGCTGCATGTAATGATGTTAATTTGTTTAAAACTAACGAAAGAGGTCAAATAAACGCTTGAACGGGGCTCTCGAGGGGGGATTTCTGCGCATCGAATTCGCGACGGGTAACATTTCGCTCTGACCGGGAAAACAGTTTCAACCCAACAGCCAAAATGGGACAAAAAGCCAGAAACAGTAAAAAAATGACTTACTCTAATTTATATAGGCTTTTGGGTAATAACATCGGTTGTATGCCCCCGCAGGAGCTAAGACAAATATTGGCTGGTTGCCAATGCCCCATAACCGCGCATAAAAGTTCGTGAACCGCTTTGAGACGACCCATGTTGTGATAAAGCGGTATATAAGATCCTGAAATTAGTAATTATTATCATAATTACATCGGAAGATTCGGGGTGTTACGACCTTACAGCAGCTAAGATCATATGCAGATGATGTTAAGGAAGAGACCACGTTAGAGTGGCATTACAACTCAGTGCCATAAATTGGACACTCACATGACACTCCACCCAATCGCGTAATATTGATAACGGGCTATCTAAAATATATTGAAACATAACGCTCGTGAAAATCAAAATCATGTTACCTAAACATTGTTCATTTTGTCCTTGACTGTTGATGAAGTAAACAGATTCTTGTGTTAACTTTTGGTTAACTTGAAAATTAACTTTATTGGATCAATGAAAGGTACAGTAAAACCTCCATCATTTTGACTAATAGCATACATTCCATTGAGAGCCAAAAGCATTCAGAACCCTACACTTGGCCATACTAGCCAAATACAGACTTCCATTAGACATTACTTGCAGTAAGCGTATTACTATCGGATCTTAATATAAAAAAAAGTTCGTTCGTGACTGTATCTACTATATGTGCAGTGTTTCCACATCCTTAAAACGGCGGGAAAACGGTTAAACGGAAGTCTTTATGACATTGTAAGTGCAACGTTTGGCCACAAATGTGATGGACTTTTCTTCGATTCTGCCATATTCAATGCGTTAGCGTTATATGTTTTCCTGTTTTGTCTGGACTTGGCTGGACATTGCGGTAATATACCTCCATCGTCGTATGGTCCAGTGATTACGACTGAAGACGCTTGACGATCACCCGGCTGCCATTATGCAAATGAACTCGGCGTTCCCGAAGGTAATATTCAGTGTTCTCGAACATTGAGGTAGTTATTGTAGTTATTGTATTGTTTAACGGCCCATCGACAATTTGAAAACAAAAATCACATAAAATATGTACATGAAAACCAGAAACAAAAGGTTGAAATGCGTATAAGATGTCGGAATATTTCAATAGCAAGCGAATTGTTCATGAAATATACCATACCATAAAAGAGATTAATTGAACGTAAATAATCATATATTGGTTGCACCGAAACTGTACCAAATACACGTTATCGTTTTATAGAGTGTACATTTTAAAACACGTAACGTTTTTGTTTGACAATAATGTTGCTCTTCTTAATGCAAAATGTAACAATGTGTGATGTAGGTGTGCCCTATACAACCTCCTCGCTATGGCCCCATCCACCTGCCGCACATAAACTTACGTTACGTTGAACTGCGAATACTTTGTTGTACACCATTTAAGACTTTAAGGATCACTGTGCCATTGTAGACGAAACACTAGAGAAGTCCACTGTTGTTTTCATATCAATATACCCCCCCCCCCCTAAATGTTGTTTTGGATATTATAGTAATGGGACTGAGCTATAAAGCTCATATAGTTCATATAGCGATGACGCCGATTGAAAGCTGTGAGCTTCATGTGGCGCGTTTGGATATATGTTAAAATACTTGTTGACACCCTTTGAAGGTGCAGCTCATGATCAGTTGCTTATAGAGACCGTATTTTGATCGGAGGTCCAGGGTTCGGATCCCAGTCTAGCCACGCTCTATTTCATTTTACATTTCATTCTTTGTAACAACAGTTCCACAAAACAATGTTTTCTTCTCAGAAATGATGTATTACAGTTATTTTCAGGCCGATACCAATCCCAGTTGATGATTTTGCAGTGGTACTGGGATCCTTATGTACAGCAAATAGCTTTCTACTGAAAACAATCAAAATATATTCTAAATATTGGTTTGTTATCGCATTTATATATTTTTTTGACTATTTTCATCAAAACGAAAAACAACTAGAAGATCGGGGAATCGAACCCTGGATGCCTTGGTAAAAAGGGAGTCTGATATCAACTACGCCAAACATAGTATGAAGATGATGCAATTATAACATTATCTATTATATAATGTTTTCGGTGTTTTAATAGTAGCACGTATATAACTATTGTAATGTTTTAAGTGGGTGGATTGGTTGGAGGGGCACATATTAGTCACCTTCTACCATACTTCGTTGAGACAAGAAAGGTTGATCCTTTTCAAAACATTCAAAGTTTAAGCTGTGGTTATCAATTGGTGGCGTTATGCAATCGACAAATAAAAAGAGAACTAATAAGTATTCTTTTTACATTGTAAGTAATGTAAGGCAGATTCTACTGAACATCGCTGACTGTCACAAAATTGTACAAAGAGTCCAAGGATAACAAAGTAGTCTATTCTAAAACACAAGCACTCGATACTTGATATAAGCTTTTTCGAATATGACTCTACATATTTTAAACTCACCAAATTAATATACACAGGAAAACTACCTCAAATACACCAAATAATACACACACTCATCGCAATATGACTCTCTAAACTACAACGACCCATCAATATTCGTTAATACACAGTATACGCAACTCTTAACCACAAAAAAATCCTTACCAATACAATCCAACGTGAAGTACAGTTGAGCCAGGGTTTACTAACACAGAAAACCTCGATTATAATTGGCTACATATGTCAACACACTGCGCTTTATGTACTTCGCTCACAAATTCTGTGATGATCACGATTATTGCTAGCTACAGGAAAACAATCACTTCCTGTTATAGTTTCGCACCATCCATCTATTAGCAGGTCTAAACCATCAACATGTCCGTATCTCTCTTGCATTTGTCTTTTCGTTTATTTATCATATTTGATGATTTTGCATGTATCACATATCTTTAAAGTTTTTAACAAAAGCAGAGGAAAGCCTCAGGTATCAAAATTTTACCAACCTATTGTATTACGGGTTATGTATATGCACGCGGACTAAAAATTTCGCGATCACGACCCAAATTAGAAAATTAACTTTACACGGATTATGATTTCGCGATCTAGAGCTGAACGAACTTAATTTTCGCGTTGTGTTAGCATAGAGACGGGACACTCGACATATACAGTGTCAAATAGGGGTAGGTAAGTAACTGTATATTTTGAACCAAAATCATCAACAAAACTGTAATGTGAACTAATCTATTTTTAAAAATCAATACTCATTATGAATATGGCGTCACAACGACATACGGGATATGCCATGACGACATTACGACTATGAGGTTTATTTTGACTTGTTATGACTTTTATGCTTGACTAATGAAATATATTACCTGTAACTGAACGAGATCGGGTTATCTCATTCGAGGGTTAAGATTCTGTAACAAGATCTTACAGATTCTTAGCCTGAGACTAAGATAACCCGATCTTGCTAAGTTATAGGTAATTGATGTTCTTTCTTGCACCTTTCGTTCGTTTTTTTTTTTTTTATTCTGCTAAAAACTTCAAGAATTCCGTCTGGGGCCTCAAATGATAATTACCTCTTCACTACGTAAGCTACATTTGAATGCTTCCGCGTAAAAATGCTGTCCGTTCTTACATAGATGACAACGTATTTCAGAGTATACATTATATTTTATCTACAACATCAGATATCTAACAACATCAAAACTATACATATAACAACAAAACAGAAGATTTATAACGCAGATTGTCAATTTCAAGCAGTTAACGCGCGGATGAATACATCGCAGTTTAAAATTCCGCGAAATGTCGCGTAAAGGTGCAAGACAGGTCGGACGACATAGAAAAATCTAGTATGGGGTATGACGTGGGATATCTCTGTCTGAGGTTCGATAAATATTATTCTGCAGATAATATTTTCGCGATTTCGTGATCGACCCACGAAAAGATCATCCCCGCAGAAGTATCTTACTATACGGTATGTTAAATATGTCAAACGTTTTGATAAGATAACAAGACATTGCTTGTTTTTGATTTTGTATTGTTTAACGGCCCACGACAATGTGAGTCATTTAGGGCAAAATAACAATAATAATATAGAAAATCGTAAAACTGAACAAATTAAATAAAAATCTATAGATTAAAATGTGTAAAAAGAAGTGATAATACATCTTTAGCAAACTAAACGGTTATTAAGTATTGCATACCGTTTTTTAAGATCAGTTGTGTATAAATAATCATGATTATAATAATTGCACAGAAACTGAATCAAATACCCTTTTCATAGACGAAATATTATAGAATCTGTCACGTATTTGTTTGAAAGCAGTGCAGTCAATCATGTTTGACTGTAAATGGTTCACCACATGCTTGACGATGGGCTGGTCTTCCTGTCGTAAAATGTAATCATGTGTGATTTAGGTATGACCAATGATTAGTTGCAAAAGACCATATCTTACTCTCTACAGTCTACGGCTTGCTTCACATGAACTTACATTAGGTTTGATTTTTAATAACTAATTGTTTATTCCTTCAGATCATTTAATTTGGCTTTTCAATGTAAAAACTGGTACATATGTACATCATGATGGGGAAAGTTATGGGATCTAGGAACCACCAAACTAAATCACATATGACATTTACTGACGTCCAATAGACAGCAAGTAAGATTATTTGAAACTTCCACTTTAAACCACATATGGCCTCAACCGGAATTAATGGTGACTTCGTCTGCTACGGAAATATACCGGTAATTTGGTGGAGCAACATTCTCGTAAGAAGTGGAGATAATTCCATATTTATAATGTCAATATAACCGGAATGTATGGGCGCCTACCGTGACCCGGTTGAGATGACATCCCTACGCAAACCTATTTCTGTCCCTTGATCCACTGGTGAAAAGGGGAAGGAGATTGAGCCTAATGGTTAATCGTCATTACCCCCAGACGTCAGGAAGATGGCCATTTTAACGTAGACTTAATAGAGCACACCGGGGCTATAAAGGGCGACTTTATATACATTGTCGTCGGTCTACGCCATTTCCAAATATCGAACAGTTCTCAATGTGGCACCGGTTGTACGAACCGCTAAAAATATTGTCTCCTTTGTATTTTCTCATCAAGTTCGTTTGGCAATGCACACACAATATCACCTAGGGGGCCTTCGACCAAAAAAAGAAAGAGAATGAGAGAAAAAAGAAACAGACCCGAAGTATTTATAAGGCCAAAAGATCAATTTTGGTGTCTTTTTATCCTTTCCCAAAGTCGCTTACGGTTGATCATGTAAGGGAGAGTATGAGCGATCTTTAATTTAAATTATTTTCTTTTTTAAATATAAACATATGTGTGATCTATTTGATTGGGACACATGTTCTTGCTTGTTTCAACCTCCTCGTAACAGCCAGGGTCAAATGCGGACGGGTGCCATGGTTTGATTGTTTGTTGTTTTGGGGTTTAACGTCCTCGAAACAGTCCAGGTCATATGTGGACGGGTGCCAATGAAGACACCGCCTGATATAGATAGTAGATAGAAAAGAAAGAAGACAGGCAAGATAGAAACCGAAAAATATCCCGAGTGATGCGACGGGGGCAACATATCAATATTCGACTCGTTTTTGTTTTCTTCGTAGATGACACAGAATAAAAACCTCGATTCTAAAGTGGCCGCCACATTAGTCGCCGTTTACGGTTCCCATGCATAGTGATACAGCAGGTATGTTATATATTTTTTCAATGTACCTTAAATACAAGAAAGACACTATCCCCGATCCTGCAGGGGGCCAACAGGTGTCGGCTTTTACGATCCTGCAGGGGGCCAACAGGTGTCGCCTTTTACGATCATGCAGTGGAATAAAACATGACTATTCTTTCGCTGAACCTTTGGAGACACCGCCAAAAAAGAGTAAGGAAAATATATATCCAGGGTGTTACAATCCGGCCAGCAGATCAATTTTGCTTTTTTCAGTGTCCCCCTATTCAGACGACAGTGAAGAAAACACCCGATTTTGCATGGGTCCATATTAGTTGTCCCTTACAACATACCGCAGGATACATGATGGCCTAGCCCCTCCCCTGCTAGGGACACTTACGGTCATGATACTAACGTCATGGCAGCTATAGCTAACTGTGTTAAGAAACTACGTTTAAAAACCTCTTTTCCGTGATTATATTAACTAAATTTGTAGTAGGTGACTAACCGCATCAACTAAACATTTAATGGACTAGCTAAAAAGATGAAAACACTATACACACATGTAATTCCACTAATGAGGTGCACACATGGGAGGCCGTCCTTAAATGACCTTAGCTGTTAATAGGACGTTAAACAAAATCAAACAAAAAAAAAAAAAAAAATGGTAATAGATACAGTATGTCAATAAGTGTTACATTGATACCATACAGCTTTTTCGTCCTTCTAGGACTCATCGGTGAGTTGGAAATCCAAAGCAGAAGGAGAGGTGCGCAAAACCCGTTATAAGAATTTCAAAAGTTCGATGGATACTTGTTATTTTCAAATCAATGATTGACTATATATCAAGAAAAATGCTACATATGTCCCACACAAAATATGTATTTTTTGCAATTAAACGTAAGACACACACATACAGTTAATTCTTTTAATTTCCTTTAATTCTGAATGCTGTAAAACATTGTAGTTTTCATTTTTCTACCTTATTTAAGAAACACTCACCATGTTAGTAAGGACCATGTGCGCTATCTAAAGATATTCAAATATCATTCTTTTTCTAATAATAACCAACCGATATACCAAAAAAGAAAAAATCAACTGTCGCGAAAACACCCACCAAAGAACCAGTCAGCTTTTGGAATAAATACTGCATGTTTCGGTTTGGTTTGTTTTATTGAGTTTATTGTCCTATTTACATTGTACGTCTTAGTTCACTCAAGGACGATCCCACCCATCTCTATAATGTATGTTTTTGCGCTGAAAATTATTCCAGAAAATGTTTTCTCGGAAACGTTCAGATTTCAATTTAATAAAGATCTAAGATCTTAGATAGATGAAGAACAGGTCTGATCAAAATGAACGCGCTTAAAAGACTTCACATTGAACAAAGTAGGTACGCTTGCATTTTACATAAAAGGAACGGACATTCAGGTTATCCCAGCAGTGTTGATAGAGAACCGTTCTGATTAATCAGCGAATCTAACTGCGATTACATACTACTAATGATACATTTTAGTTCAGTTACATTACTACTAATTTCGATATTGTATGCATGGTGTATTGGGACTATGCTACATGTAATGGGTGTTAAATCCTTCTGAATAGCGTATTCTGTCAGGAATCAAAATCCCAAAACAGGATCAACGTAACGTGATGATGCGTCTAGGCAGCTATTGCCTGCGACCGGATTAAAAGAATTTAAGCTATTAGTGCTCAATTAAAAGCGTTCTCTTTCAGCATTCTTTTGGTTTCCGTAATCCCCAAGAAATATATAAAGCTTAATTTCTTTGTACTCGACCTATGTCTCCACTTAGACGAATACAGTAATGACGTCTGACAAGTAAAATGTGGCGATAAAATATTTTTTTAAATATATATAAAGCTTTTTATTCTATATTTATTGTGTATCAGTGAAATAAAACACACATTATCCCGACCAGATCACACGTTTGGAGTGACGTTGCCAGTTGATGCACTTTTAGGGTGCTTTTATGTCGTCCAGGCACGCAGCATAACAAAATGGCGGTGAATGTCGTTGATGGGCGCGTTCGAGTTGTCGTAAACAATCCCCGTGAATCATGCGGAGCTATCAGAAACTATAATTGATGGTAGTTGCGTATCTGTGACGTTTGCCATAGACAAGCTTTCAGTGTTTAGGTCAGTGTGTGCTCTGGGCATGGCATATCACGGAAAATACATGTAAAAACCGGACAGAGGATTGTATTAAAACGAAAAAAAATTAAGTACATCACGTGACGAATTCTGCTGAACAATATCAAACAGAGGTCGGATGAGAGAGAAATCCAAGGTTTGGATCTGCGTGAGGAACGAATCGCTGTATAATTTACAACGCAGTCCAGGTTTCATTGCCATCAATTTTCATGGGATGATACATGTTAAGAAGATTTAATTATATCTGGTGCTGACAGCTATATGCACGAGTCGTAACCATAGATACACTTACCTCTAGAAACGTCGAGATGACTACAATTCCATTGGACGAATTTTCGGCACGTGACATATTTTCGTATAGATCTCCGTTGTATCCTATCATTTGCAACTGAAAGAAAAGAACATTTCACATTATTATTATTATTGGATTCTTAACCGCCCATCAACACAAAAGAGGTCATTAGGGCAAATCAAAAGTAAATAAAACTTGTTAAATGGAAATGTTTTTTTCGGATTTTGAAATAAAGTATTTGTGGTATTCTCCTGAAGAGCGCAAATGAATCGAATTACTTTCCGTTACGTTTTCTTTACGACACATTTAAATTAATTTCAAAATACCGATATATATCTGAAAATAAATGGCCTTGCCTGACCGCTTTCTGTACATTCATTACCCCCCCCCCCCCCCCCCCCCCCCCCCCCCCTTAATTTCGTTTTCGATGTTGGATCCCGGTCTCTGCACTGCGTTGCATTTTTAAACCTTTTGGTGTGCTTCATCTTAATAATTTTCTAATACACATTCCTTAAGGTATGGTTTTATGTACAGAAATGATAAATTAGTTTCAAATGCATTCTTACAGTTTTCTGTTACTGATAAGGGGCACCTTAAGGTACAAAAAAGAACAGTGATGTACTGTTAGACCTTGATATAATGCCATGTGTTTCATTGGCTACCTAATTTACATAATTCCTTCTTTTCTGGGGAATCCATTTAACATTTCCCTTATTTTATTGCCCAAACCCATTTAAACGCCAAAATATATCTAACCAAACGGTGGCAATATAACGAAGTTTTATTATAATCATAATTGTTTCAACCAGAAACATAAAATAAGGTCTATGGATTTAAAAACGTCGCCTACAGATAATTAGTTTTATAATATTCATATTGCTTCACATATTTAATATATACCAATTTAATTATATAAACGTATAAGCCAGAAATAGACCATCCCGTTACTTACCTCACTAACATATTTATTGAGACATACATTTTAATAGTTTAATATTCCGTTATTCGGATATTATCCGGAACGAAGTACCATCGTTTTCAGTAGTAGTTTTACATGAATAACTCTTGCACACAACCACGGAGTTTTCAAAATTTAAGTTTGGCCAATTGGGTATACTAATTACTGTTATACATAGTAATAGGCATTTAAGTATATAGATAATGAAATGAAATACGTTTACTTATACAGACATGTACCTATGCAACGCAATTTACTGTGTAACCATTCATCAGAAAAAAAATCCCCTAAGCAAGTATACCCATTTTGACAAAAAGCTGGATTTTTTATTAGCATTTTCTAAAGCAATCACAAATGCTAAAGATTTCTTACATGCAACATCATTTGTATTCAACGGATTCCCATGGATTTACAAAAGTAATGTTTATAATCGAATTGAATATTTAAGTTTGAGTTTGAACAAACATAAAGATGGCATAAAGTATCTCATATTTCGAATGCAAAAAAATACAACAAGTACTAATTGTAAAGGGGGACCATTAACAAATGTCTCCCAAACATTCCCGCAGCTATGTTCACAATGCCAAAATACACCTACATACCAAATTTGAGCAAAATCGACCAACATTCATTTAGACTAATCAGAGGCCGTGGAAGCCATCTTTGTTCACCAATCGGAAAACGAAAGGTCATTTGCACACCCCCGTGCCAAGATGAACACTTGTGTAAAGTTTCATTAATTTCCGTCCAATATCTTTTGAGATACGTGTCGGAGACCTTTTACGGCATAAGAGGAGGAAGAAGAAAGAAAAAGAAACGGAGTAAAACCAATACGTCCCCCACTTCGTTTGGGGGACATAAATAGATAGTTTAAGACAAACACCATGAAAGAGCGTGTGTTGTTATTAGTGGGAGGCATACATTTGTTGATATTTTGTTTGGCGTTAAACGTCCCCACAACAGCTACTGATGTACTGTATGTCGACGAAGGCAAAAGGTAATTGGGTCAACTTTGAGTAATTATAAAGTGTCATCTAACTGAAATGTCATAATCTGAACATGGTAGCATGACACTCCACATGGAGACATTATACTGACAACAAGTTAAATAATCATTGGCGAATCCCATTGAAGCTGCAAGTTACAAGCAGAGAACAGTCAGTACTAATATAAGGACTTTAGTTTTGTCTCAAGTACGGCACAGAACCCAAAGCCATTCTTGACTGTTCAACACTACATCCAAAAGCAAGGTTACATGTAGGTATATTTAGATAAACATCTTATGAACACATAGGGACGATAAATGTATCAATGCATGTGTTCTTGAGGCGGTATGTAAGTGTTTTTTGCCATTTTGCAGTAGTGCGGATCTGCTGTCGACTTTTCATTGCTTCTATACCGACAAATATGCTGGAGGTAGACAGGTAGAAGAAACAAAAGCAAGTCTCTCATTCTTAAAGCGGTTCCTACATGTAAACGCCTTTTCAGAATCATACTATGAATTATAGAGGACATGCTCTTTTATTGGTACCGAAACTGCGGAAGTGATATTTGTTTGTCTAAAACAGAATTCGGAGTGTCCCTTTTATGTATGTGAATTTTCTAGATCGTGTGTACCATCAACTAAATACATATTTTATGTTATTAGTGTGTTTTCTATAAAACACACGTATTTTCACACAAAACACTGTTTGTTCGTTGAACAGTTTTTCCCCAGTCATTTCTCTAGATTAATAGATTAAACTTTTGTTATATGCAACGGCAATTGTTGGTTTAAGAGAGAGTCAACAAAAAGGCATAATTCAACTCAGCAAAATGTGCAGTCTGTAAATTTAGAATTGGAAGTGCGCCAGATCAACTGTTCACAAAAATCACCCGTTATTTACTGAAATGACGTTACTTTGCAATAATCAGTTAAGACTTAAAAAAACTATTGCAATCCAATCCATTTTGTGTATGACGGAACGTATCAAACTACGTTCTGTATTTATCATGTTATTTTGACTATACCGCGTTCTGAAGCTAATGCACGATAACATCTTCCTCATAAACAATGGTTTGCCAATTGACATTTATCGAAAACATATTACCACTTAATAGCCGATGACGACATATCGGCACTTTCACTGTGTCGTTTAATCAATTACAATAATGTTACTCCGTGTACGCTCGTATTAGAGTCCTTATACACCTTAAACATAAGCAATGGACATATCGTAAGAGCACGTTAGAAATAGATATGGACTGATATGTTGTGATTACACTGGGAAGTTACAAGGTAAATATCTCAATTTTGATCTATTTGAAATCCTTTTTCTTCTTTCTTTTCGGTGGTTTCGTTCCCTAGGCACCCAAATGACCTTAGCTATTGCGTGTTATTTAAACCACAATCAAACAATAATCCAGTTTTTTGGCTGTGCATTTAGTGTTTAAGAGAACATTTATATTTAATCAATGCATCATTTATCCATAAAACAAAAGGTTATTTAAGCTTTTTGCAAGGCACCACTGTTCATCTAAGATTAAAAGAAAACTATTCGAAGTATTTCATTTGAAGATAAAAACATTTTTTTTATCGAACTCTTGTCGTATCAACTTAAGCATAACACAGTGAAATAACCTTTTATCTCAAACAATAATTGCTCTAGTTTTTCTTGGTTCCCATTTCCTCCTTTTATCATATTTATTTCAAATGCCACAGTTCAGCAATTCTTATGCTGCTTGTAACGGAAGTCAGAACACGACACTTCAAATGCCACTTTCTGGAGAATTGTTATAAAAACACCCGGTCTGGTAAATAATGAAGTAATTCAGATGCTTTATGATCTTCTGTTCCAAACTACTCATTGTATCTACCTGCTAGTATTGGTGTTGTACTTTCTTTATAGGATTTTGGCATCTTCCCAATCGATTTTTCGGTTGTGCTTTGTCGGAGCAATATTTTAGTGCTGATTTGAAGTTTTTTCCCATTTATTTTTGGTTCCCATTTTCTCCAAATCTGTAAGGTATTATTTGAAACAAATACCACATTTGCATAACGTTACTTACACAAACGATCCTTGAAAATTCCCAATAGGAATGTTGTAGATCGCGTTTCGTTTTTGTCTGTTCTGCCCATTTACGTTTGTCTGAGTGTGGCAAGCGAACTCGTTATGTCCATCAGTCGCCTTTTGTCATACTGGCTTCTTATGGTATACTTGTACTGGTGTTGCCTTTCAATTCAGCTGGGTTTGTGTTCTTCAACTTTCCTGTTGTGGTTCTTTTACCTCTTTTTATTACATGTAGCTCTTTGGACGTTGCTGCTGAACTATTGTGTATATTGACATCAGTTCAGTGCCATTATTGTATTTTTCTATAAATATTGTGCATCTGTCAAAGCGTCGCTTAACAATTCATGCGCGTTGTGCAGTGAGTGGTGGAGATTAAAGTCCACGTTCTGGTTTGCATTTGTTGTTTGTTAATGAGTCTTTGTAGGTGTCTTCTGCACTTCTAGTAGCTAAAAGTCGCCTTGCAATACATATTCAAATTCTTGTAATATAAAAAGCATTCCACAAGAATCAAGAAATATCCTTTTTATGTTTATAGTTATATTTGAAATATTGTGCCACTATAATATTATCTTACGAAAAACAAGTTTGGTGTTTAGAATAGCCATGGCCTAGTGGTGTCAAACTACATAGTCTGCATTGACCAAATCACAACCATCAACTTCCCCGTGCTAGTGCGCGCAATACAATATGCAGACACGAACGAAAATGTCTTGCTTTTTACAGCTGTTGTCACCGTTTTATGCATTTTATCGTACGACAAAAAATATCAATACACAATTGAAAACAAATATCTTTAATTAAATATGACATACAGATGGTCCTTGATTAGAATTACATGACTGTAACTGCTAATTTAAAAGTTCTATAGTATTGTCGCGGTTTTAAAAACCCTGATAATTTTCCTGGTTTGGTTTGGTTTAGTATTGTTTCACGTCCTATCAATAGCTATAGTAATTTAAGGACGGCCTCCCCTGTGAGAAAGATGCATGTTTAAGATGGATACAATGCTATTTCCAATCAATCAAACAAGTTTGTGAAAACTTTGTTTCGAGAATATATTAAAAACCATTTATGAATTTAAAATATGA